GCACCCAGCCTACTTAATTTTTTTACTTTAATGTTCTTTAGATTATAACATAAGGTGTTTCACCTTTTTGCTTTAATTCATTTTAAAGTATAGTTACTACAGTTACTGTAGCTGGGATTTTTTAAAAAATTCATTTTGAGATAGTTAATTGTTCATGTGTAGAAATGCTACTGATTTTTGTATGTTGATTTGTATTCTGCAAATTTAATAAATTTGTTTATTAGTTCCAGTAGTTCTTAGTAAAGTCTTAGGATTTTCTGTATTTAAAATTATATCCACCAGGCATGGTGGCTTACGCCAGTAATTCCAGCACTTTGGGAGGCTGGGGTGGGTGGATCACGAGGTCAAGAGATCGAGACCATCCTGGTCAATATGGTGAAACCCCGTCTCTACTAAAAATACAAAAAATTAGCTGGGCATGGTGGCGCGTACCTGTAATCCCAGATACTCAGGAGGCTGAGGCAGGAGAACTGCCTGAACCCAGGAGGCGGAGGTTGCGGTGAGCCAAGATCACGCCATTGCACTCCAGCCTGGGTAACAAGAGCGAAACTCCGTCTCAAAAAAAAAAAAAAAAGAAAAGGAAAGAAAGAAAGAAAAGAAAGTGGGAAATAGTGTAACAGAAAGAAAGAAGAATAGAAAAGAGGGGAAAATAAGGCATCCCTGTCTTGTTCTAGGTCTTAGAGAAAAAGCCGACATTTCCCTGTTTAGAATGTTATTAGCTGTACATTTTTTCCTGTACATGGCATTTATTGGCTTTAGATGCATTTGTCCTGTACTTACTATGTTTTAGTGATTTATTATGAGATTATTATGTGATTTGAATTTTGTCAAAGTTTTTTTATTTTTTTGAGACGGAGTCTCACTCTGCCACCCAGGCTGGAGTGCAGTGGGGCGACCTCGGCTCACTGCAACCTCTGCCTTCCAGGTTCAAGCAATTCTCTGCCTCAGCATCCCAAGTAGCTGGATTACAGGCGCCCGCCACCATTTGCAGCTAATTTTTGTATTTTTAATAGAGACAGGGTTTCACCATGTTGGTCAGGCTGGTCTTGAACTCCTGAGCTTGTGATCCACACACCTCGGCCTCCCAAAGTGCTGGGATTACAGGCATGAGCCACCGCACCCGGCCAATTTTGTCAAATTTTTATTCTGCATCTATTTAATTGTTAGAGTTGTGAAATCATCACTAATTTCACATAAAGAGTAGACATCCTCAGAGACTACTATGTACATCTCTATACAAGCAAACTAAAAGATTTAGAGAAAATAGAGGCCGGGCATGGAGGCTCACACCTGTAATCCCAGCACTTTGGGAGGCCAAAGTGGGTGGATCACCTGAGGTCAGCAACAATATGTAAAGTATGTAAATATATTTAATTAGTAATAAACCAGCTACCAACCATAGAAAGCCCTGGATAAGATGAATTCATAGCCAATTTTTTTCACATATACAAAGGTAAGCTGGTATGACCCCTACTGAGTGTATTTCAAAAATCAAGGTGGAAGTCCTTCCTAAAATGTTATTTGAAACCAGTATCATCTTGATAGCAAAACCTAGTGAAGACACAGCAACAAAAGAAAACTACATGCCAATATTCCTGGTGAAAATTGAAACAAAAATTCATGAAGTACTAGCAAGCTGAATTCATACACAAAGCAAAAGGTATTTTGCGACAATCATGTAAACGTTATGAATGCAAAGATGTTTCATGATATACAAGTAAATAAGTGTGATTCACCATGCAAAGATAGTTTTCAAAAAATGAGTATCACAAGCTGGTCTCGGTGGCTCAAGCCTGTAATCCCACCACTTTGGGAGGCTGAGGTGAGGGGAATACCTGACATCAGAAGTTTGAAATCAACCTGATCAACATGGTGAAACCCCGTCTCTACCAAAAATCAAAAAATAATTATCACAATAAATGCAGAAAAGGCACAAAAGGAACTCTAATAAGTATTTATAAAAATATTCTCAACAAATAAGCATTGAAGAAATACGCCTCAAAATAATAAAAGCCATCTATGTCAAATCCTCAGCCAGCATCATACTGAACAGGCAAAATCTGGATGAGGTCTCCATAAGAATAAAAATAAGAGGGCCAGGTGCAGTGGCTAAGGTTTGTAATCCCAGGTCTTTGGGAGGCTGAGACAGGTGGATCACCTGAGGTCAGGAGTTCGAGACCAGCCTGACCAACAGGGTAAAACCCCATCTGTACTAAAAATAAAAAAAAAAAATTGCTGGGCATGGTGGTGCATACCTGTAATCCCAGCTACTCAGGAGGCTGAGGAAGGAGAATCGCTTGAACCTGAGAGGTGGAGGTTGCAGCGAACCAAGATCACACCATTGAAATCCAGCCTGGGCAAGAAGAGTGTTAATCTGAAAAAAAAAAGAGAGAGAGAGAAGAGAAGACAGGAGAGGAGGGGAAAGGATGGGAGGGGAGGGGTGGGGAGGGGAGGGGAGGGGAGGAGAGAAAGAAGAGAGGGAGAAAAGAGAAAAAGAAGCGGGGCACAGTGGCTTATGCCTGTAATCCTAGCACTTTGGGAGCCTGAGGTGGGTGGATCACCTGAGGTCGTGAGTTCAAGATCAGCCTGACCAAAATGGAGAAACCCCCTATCTACTAAAAATACAAAATTAGCTGAGCGAGATGGCACATGCCTGTAATCCCAGCACTTCGGGAAGCCTAGGCGGGTGGATAACGAGGTCAAGAGATCCAGACCAGTCTGGCCAACATGGTGAAACCCCATCTTTACTAAAAATCCAAAAATTAGCCAGGCGTGGTGGCACGTGCCTAAAGTCCCAGCTACTCAGGAGGCTGAGGCTGGAGAATCGCTTGAACCCAGGAGGCGGAGGTTGCGGTGAGCCAAGATTGCACCATTGAACTCTAGCCTGGCAACAGAGAGACTCCCTCTAAAAAAAAAAAAAAAAAAAAAAGAAGCTGAAATTTAAAAACATTTATTATTATTTTCATTTGTGTAGAGCCATATATTATTTATAAATGCATGTGACCTTATACACAAGGTTAAAGACAAATACCCTCTGGAGTGGGCCTGGCTCAGCTCCGGGAGGAAGCCCCGCTTGAAAAGACGTCACTCCTTGATTTGGCACAGCATCTAATCACATCCTCTGTCACTCAGGGCCTGAGGGGGCGGGGTTTTAAACGTTATCCAATGAACGACTCTGGACTAGGAACTGTCCAATCAGACACGCAGCTGGAGCAGACAGGACGGATTCCGGATCGTGGCGGGTCCTTTGTCTCTCGTTGCAGCTGGAGCTCTAGGTCTCTTCGCTGCTCGGGGTCCTCTGCTCCAAGAGGCCCAGTGTCTGTGGCCTGCAGGTATTTGGAGATCCACAGCTAAGACGCGCGACCCCCTGGAAGCCTAGAAATGGTAAGGGTGCCGGGTTGTCATCCCAAGGGAGGGGAGGGGGTTGTTTAGAAACCGGTGGGAAGCGACTGTGGCTGGACTTAGGCTTCCCCGCGGTCGGCTCCACAATTTGCGCCCAGTTCTCCTTGCGAAGCTCAGCCTCAGTGTCCTTCAGCCACAAGATGGCGGCTGCACTGACAGCAGGGCCCCGGGCGTCCTGTCTCTTCTCTCCCAGTGACTGTGCCCTGGTCTGGAGCCCTCTTTGAGCAGCTTTGCACCCGCAGCCGCGTCTCTCTCAGATTGTGCAGGGATCACGGGAGGGTCGTCAGGGGAGAATCCTGACTTGGGGTGTGAGTTCATGAATGGGAACAGCTTTGGTCCGTGGGGTACCCAGTTCCTATTTTCTCCTATTAAAAATTTATGGGAGCCACTGCAGAAATATTAAAGAATTTAATCAAACGGTGGTTCTAGAACTGTAGCGCACCCAGCTATAGTTTGTAGTTTGTGGTCTATGGGAGAGGCTTGAAGGAAAGTCTTTATAAAATGCATGATGAAGAAAACCAAATTAGTAATTGGTTAGGTGCGGCTGCGTGGTATCCTAATTTGTACATTAAAGGTGAAAATTTCCTGGTTATGTAATCAGAGCTTAAGTGGCAGATTATAGTTGCTGAAGCCTAAATTTTGTTTCTCTGAATGTAGTAATTAAAAATAATGCGCCCGAGTTACTTTGCTGTTGTTGTGTGTGTGTTTTGTTTTTTGAGAGGGAGTCTCACCCTGTCGCCCAGGCTGGAGTGTAATGGCGCTAGGCTCACTGCAAGCTCTACCTCCTGGGTTCAAATGATTGTCCTGACTCAGCCACTGCAAAAAAGAGTTTATTAAAGGCCCAGTTAGTTTTTTTCTGGAGAGTCTCCCTTGCACATGTCCCAGGCTGCTCACTCCAGTCATGGAAGAAGCCTTTCTGCTGAGAGAAGCTACAGAACCCTGGAAAGCCACAGGCAGATGCAGTTAAGACAACAGGGAACTGGGAGGATCTTACTGACGATGAGGTTGTTACTGCTTTAAGACAGTTTCCAGACTTTGTAATACGTAACAAAGTTAGAGGTCTGTTAAAAATTTGAATTCAGAGCCAGGTGCAGTGGCTCATGCCTGTAATTGTAATATTTTCTATCCATAGCATAAAATGGTTTTCCCTTTGTGTCATCTGACTTCTCTAAGCAGTATTTTGTCATTTGTGTCATAAAAAGCTTTTACCTCCCTAGTTTGCTGTATTCCTAGATATTCTTTTTGTGCAATTTTTTTAGTTAAGTAAATTTGACATTGAAGCATTTATTTTCTTAAAAATAACTGTTGTAGCTGGCACAGTGGCTCACGCCTGTAATCTCAGCACTTTGGGAGGCCAAGGTGGGCGGATCATGAGGTCAGGAGTTTGAGACGAGCATTACTAATATGGTGAAACCCCATCTCTACTAAAAATAAAAATTTATTAGTCAGGTGTGGTGGTGAGTGCCTATAATTCCAGCTACTCAGGAGGCTGAGGAAGGAGAATCGCTTGAACCCGGGAGGCAAAGGTTGCCGTGAACTGAGATTGCACATTGAACTCCAGCCTGGGTGACAGAGCGACACTCAGTCTCAAAAAAAAACAAAGTGGGAAAATTTATTAATTTGTTTTTCTCTAAACATAATTTTCTTTTACACAGTGCTGTTTTTTTTTTTTTTCACACAGAGAATTTCTCTGCCAAAAATTTATTATTCTTTTTTTGACCCTTCTCAGTTAGGGTTATTTCTCCCCAGGGGACACTGTAACCAAGCAGATGCAATTTCAGCCCAGTCTTGAAGAAGGTGGGCCTCAGCTGGCCAGGTAAGCTTTAAACAATTGTAAATAACTACCTTGTAAAGATGTATAATTTATATCTTTTATTTATTTACCATAAATATTTATTAAGCTGTAATTTTCACATTTTATTTTTATTCTGGTATGTACAACTATATCTACATAACACCAATATCAGTATTCTGATAAACAGAAATGTATCTATAGCTTTGCAAAATAATATAAGCCTGATACATTTATATCTGTATAAGATTTGTAGAATTAATTTCCTAAGTCTCAAGGAACTAAAGTATACATATATACCCCCCATTAAATTTAAATGAAATAAAATAGATTTATATTTTATCAAATTGAATGCTGTATAACATAACCAGATACACAAACTATAAATTGAATCACGAATGCACTGCTGATAATAGGTACCATAACTTACAAATGTGATTTCAGTTAAAAAGAGGAAAATAATGGCTTTGGTGGATTTTCAGTGTATGCTAATCACCATCACCATTACAAAAGATAATTTAATTACATATTATTCAGACATGTAACACATCTAAATATTAAACTGACACAATAAAATATTTAAATCTGCAAAAAGACAGTAGAACATATGGTCAATAATACCATGAGCTGCCACAGGTTTGTTTTTTTTTTGAGACGGAGTTTCGCTCTTGTTACCCAGGCTGGAGTGCAATGGCGCGATCTCGGCTCACCGCAACCTCCGCCTCCTGGGTTCAGGCAATTCTCCTGCCTCAGCCTCCTGAGTAGCTGGGACCACAGGCACGCGCCACCATGCCCAGCTAATTTTCTGTGTTTCCAGCGGAGACGGGGTTTCACCATGTTGACCAGGATGGTCTCAATCTCTCGTGATCCACCCGCCTCGGCCTCCCAAAGTGCTGGGATTACAGGCTTGAGCCACCGAATTTTTTGCTTTTAATTGCATGGTCAATTACACTTATTGACTTGTATATGATGAAACATCCTTGCACAAGTGATATAATCCTCACGATTGTGGCAAAGTAACTTTTTGATTTCCCCGTGGACTCAGCTTGCTAGTATTTCATGGAGGAATTTTGTTCCGATGTTCACCAAAAATACTGGCCGTAGTTTTTTGTTGTTGTGTCTTCACTAGACTTTGGTATCAAGATGATGCAGATTTTATATACTAAGTTAGGGTAAAATTCCACCTGGATTTTTTTGAATACATTCAGTGGAATTAGTACCAGCTCATCTTTGTATATGTAGTAAAATTTGGAAGTGATTTCATATAACTCAGGCCTTTTTATAATTGGTATGTTTTTTATTACTAATTCAATTTCATTATATATTTTATATATTTTTGCCCTGCTCAAGAGTTCTGTTTCTTCCTGGTTCAATCTTGCAAAGTTGTGTGTCTCTGGGAGTTTATTCATTTTCTCCAAATTTTCTAGTTTGTGTGCATAGAGATGTTCGTAGTAGTATCTGATGATTTTTTGTATGTATGTAGAATTAGTTTTGATTTCACACCTCTAACATTTAAATAGATGCAGAATGCGAAAAGAAAAAAATGCAAAATAGAAGTTTGACAAAGTTTAACATTCCTTTACGATAAATCGCTAAAAAAATATAGGTGTAGAACAGATGCACTTCAGCCAGTAAGTGCCACATACAACCAAAAAATGCTAACACTGTACTGAACAGGGATATGTTGCAAGCTTTTAAGAGCTAGAATGAAGCAAGGATCCCCACTCTAGTCAGTCTTATTAAACATAGTACTAAATGTCCAAAAGAAGCAAATTAAAGGGTAAAATTAAAGACATCCAGATTGAAGAAAAGAAAGTTAAATTATTCCTGTACAATTTTCTTTTATCCCTATACATAATCTGAAGTATACAAAAGCCTAAAACTTTAGTAAATATTAAAAATAATAAACAGGACTGGGTTCAGTGGCTCATTTCTGTAATCCCAGCACTTTGGGAGTATGAGGTGAGCAGATCACAAGATCAGGAGTTCAAGACCAGCCTGGCCAACATAGTGAAACCTTGTCTCTACAAAAATACAAAAATTAGCCAGGTGTAGTGGTGGGTGTCTGTAGTCTCAGCTACTTGGGAGGCTGAGGCTGGAGAATTACTCGAACCCAGAAGGCAGAGGCTGCAGTGAGCTGAGATCACGCCACTGTGCTCCAGTCTGAACAACAGACCAACACTCCATCTCAACAACAACAAAACAAATTAATTTTTTTTTTTTTTGAGATGGAGTTTCGCTGTTGTTACCCACACTGGAGTGCAATGGCACTATCTCGGCTCACCGCAACCTCCGCCTTCTGGGTTCAAGCAATTCTCCTGCCTCAGCCTCCCGATAGCTGGGACTACAGGTGCGCACCACCATGCCCAGCTAATTTTTGTATTTTTAGCAGGGATGGGGTTTCACCTTGTTGTTGACCAGGATGATCTCAATCTCTTGACCATGTGATCCACCTGACTCGGCCTCCCAAAGTGCTGGGATTATAGGTGTGAGCCACCGCACCTGGCCCAAAACAAATTTATTAAACTTTCAAAATACAAAAGCACCATCAAAAAGTCATAGCATTTTTATACATTAACTATCTTCAGACTGGTGCAGTGGCTCACGCCTGTGATCCCAGCACTTTGGGAGGCTGAGGTGGGCAAATCACAAGGTCAGGAGTTTGAGACCCACCTGGCCAATATAGTGAAACCCCATAACTTCTAAATATACAAAAATTAGCTGAGCGTGGTGGTGGGTGGCTGTAGTCCCAGCTACTTGGGAGAGGAGGCAGAAGAATTACTTTAACCCAGGATGAGGAGGTTGCAGTGAGCTGAGATAGCACCACTGCACTGCAGCCTGGGTGACAGTGAGACTCAGTCTCAAGAAAAAAAAGAGGAACAAACAAAAACTATCTTCAAATGAAATTAAAAAACAATTTCATCTACAATAACTATAGTTTGATATAAATTTAACCAAAAACTTGAAACACATTACATTTTACTCTAAAGAACATTACAGAAATTAATACATAAATAGAATATTATTATTCATAAACTGGCATTATTAATAGTTAAATATTTGTATTACACAAAATTTTCTAGATATAATGTAACCTCTATCAAAATACCAGTGACATACTTCATAGAAGTTTTTAAAAAGTATATCTAAAATTCATATGGTACCAAAAAAGACCCTAAATAGCCAAAGCAATCACGCCAAAAAAGTGAAGGTATCCCCCTACCTGACTTTGAAATACACTACAAAACTATGGTAACCAAAACAATATGGTACTTGAATAAAAAGAGAAACACAAGCCAATGGAGCAGAAGGAAAAAAAGAGCAGAAATATATTCATGTATTTACAGCTAACTGATTTTAAATAAAGGTGACTTTTTAAAAGGGAAAGGACAGTATCTTCAATAAATGATGTTAAAACCTTATATCCACATGTAGAAAAAAATAAGACCCTCTTCTCACACCATATGTAAAAATAAACTTGAAATAAATTAGTGACTTTAATGTAAGGCGTGAAACTGTGAAACTACTATTATAAAAAAATAGAGTGAAAGCCCTATAACATTGGTCTGGGCAGAAAGTTTTTTGATTTAACCTAAATATCCCAGGACACAAAACAAAGAATAAGTAAATCAGATCACTTCAAATTAAAAAGCTGCTGTGCAGAATCTGATGCAATCAACAGAATGTGACAATTAAACAAAAGGGAGAAAATATTTGCAAATTATACATGTGACAAGGGGTTAATATCAAAAATATATTTAAAAATGACATTACAACAAAAAAAAATAACTATTAAAAATAAGCAAATAGCTGACATTAAGTATTTTTCAAGAAAAGATACACATATGGCCAACGGATATATTTTAAAATGCTCAATGTCAATTATCATCAAAAAAAGGCAAGCCGAGAAATAAAAACTGAGATATCAACTCATTCCTTTTAGAATAACTCTCATTAAAAAAAAAAAAAAAAAAAAAAAACTTGGTAAAAATGTGAAGAAAACAGAATGCTTACACACTTTGGTTTGAATGTAAATGAGGACAGCTGCAAGGCCGGTTGCCTCGCGGGGAGCAAGATGGACACACCCATCCCAACCACGTCATCATTCCGAACACATTACTCAGCATCTGATCTCTCCACGTGGGCTCCCCACACCCAACCCTCCACTCAGCACCAAGCTATGCACTCTACCCCGCCAAAATTTGCCCAATAGCAGCTTGGCCCGCAGTCCTCAGCCGACCTGCTAGTAGCCCTGCCTGACTACCAATAGCAGCTCGCCCCGTCCACGCCCCACCTGCTCATAACCAATGAAATTGCCTTTGCTTTGTTTCCCCAATAGCCAATCAACTACCTCCACTCCCCATAAAACCTCACGCCCTAGGAAGCCAAGCTTGACTTCTCTGGCCCGCTTCCCGGACCAAAGAACTTTGCTGGGGAGCTGAATAAATTGGCTTTTTACTTTCTTATACGGGCCTCAGTTTACTCATTTCAACTCAACAATATACCTTACAACAGCCATTATGAAAAACAAAATAGAGATTTCCCAAAAAACTTAACTACCATGTAATACAGCAATTGCACTACTGGATATATATACAAAACAAATAATATCAGAATGAAGAAACGTTTGCACTTCTGTTGTTTGCAGCACTTTTCACAATAGTCAAAATACAGAATAAACAGTTCAACATCCAATAAGTAAATGAAGACAAGGTGGTAGGCATACACAATGGAATACTATTTATTATTTAGATAAGAAGGTTTCTGTTTTCTTTTTTTCTCTTGGGACCGAGTCTTCCTATGTTGCCCAGGCTGGAAGGCAGTGGAACGATCTCAGTTCACTGCAAACTCCGCATCCCTGGTTCAAGGGATTCTCATGCCTCAGCCTCTGGGGTAGCTGGGATTAAAAGCGTGGACCACCATGCCAAGCTGATTTGTTGTTGTTGTTTTGAGTTCCCCCCCCCCCCCCCCGGTATTTTTAGTAGAGACTGGGTTTCTCCAGGTTGCCCAAGTTGGTCTTAAACTGTGGGCTCAAGCAATCCACTTGCCTTGGTCTCCCACAGTGCTGGGATTACAGGAGTGAGCCATCATGCATGACCTAAAAAAAAAGGCTATTACTTTCAATCACATGGATAAAGCTGAACGACATTATATTATCTGGGATAAGCCAGGCACAGAAAGATTAATATCTCATAATTTCACTTCCACATGGATTCCAGAAAATTAATCCCACTAATGTAGACAGTAAAATGGTGACCACTGGATGTCAAGGTATTTAGAATGGAGGGCTGGAAAAATGTATGTCAAATAATATGTAATTATAGTCGAATAGAAGAAATCAGTTCAAGAGATTTATTGTACAGCACGGTGACTATACTTCATAATAATGTATTTAGATTTTTGGAAATAAGAATGTCACATAGTCTCACCACAAAAATGTTAACTATGTGATGTAAAGTATTAATTACCTAGAAATAATAATTTAACAATGTACATATACTTCAAAATATTATGTTCTATAGAAAAAGTACACATTTTATCTGTCAAGTTAAAGCAAAATATTTTAAGAACATTATAGAAGAATAACAACATGTCAAATACTGCCTGGGACTCTGTGACAATCTCGGCTAAACAGTATTAAAATATATAGTTTTCATTTAATTTGTCAGTCATAACCATGGGAACTCTGATATTTAACAGCATGTTCTAGGGCCAGCACATTGCATGGGAGAAGCCAATATAGTTTAGGATTTTTGCTTTTAGCTTGGGGTAACTGGAGTTTCTGGTATCCCAAGCACAGTAATGGTATGAAAGATACCAAAGGGGCAGGTATTCCTTATGGTCCCATGACTGGCCATTCTGTGAACACAGTCATCTAGTTTGCATGCCTAATAACAGATGTTTTAACCCAAAACATATCAGGATATCCAAATGGTTTTCAGAGAATGAGCAAGGAGTTGGCTACAGTTTGGTGAGTAAAAAAAAAAACTGTAGGCCGTGCGCGGTGGCTCATGCCTATAATCCCAGCACTTTGGGAGGCTGAGGCGGGTGGATTATGAGGTCGAGATCGAGACCATCCTGGTCAACAAGATGAAACCCCGTCTCTACTAAAAATACAAAAATTAGCTGGGTATGGTGGCATATGCCTGTAATCCCAGCTACTCGGGAGGCTGAGGCAGGAGAATGGCCTGAACCCAGGAGGCAGAGGTTGCGGTGAGCCGAGATCACGCCATTGCACTCCAGCCTGGGCACCAAGAGCGAAACTCTCTCAAAAAAAAAAAAAAGAAACAAGAAAATAATTGTAAACTTCTCCCATTAAGAAAATACATAAAAAATGAGAAATTTCTCCAAATTGTAAAATCAATATAGAAATACATATTTTTCAAAATTTTAAATTCACAGAGATCATTTCATTATTTTGCAACCTTTAAACAGTCACACTTAAAACATTCTGCATGGAAATGTAAATTGTGCAGTAGGCCAGGCGCGGTGGCTCAAGCCTGTAATCCCAGCACTTTGGGAGGCCGAGGCGGGTGGATCACGAGGTCAAGAGATCGAGACCATCCTGGTCAACATGGTGAAACCCCGTCTCTACTAAAAATACAAAAAATTAGCTGGGCATGGTGGCGCGTGCCTATAATCCCAGCTACTCAGGAGGCTGAGGCAGGAGAATTGCCTGAACCCAGGAGGCGGAGGTTGCGGTGAGCCGAGATTGCACCATTGCACTCCAGCCTGGGTAACAAGAGCGAAACTCCGTCTCAAAAAAAAAAAAAAAATTGTGCAGTAAGTATACCACAGAAAAATAATATTGTTTACTTACCATTAACTCTCTTAAAAATGTAATTTCTATGTTTTCTAGCAAGTTGTGTATTTGCCACACTTTGATTATGGGCATGAGCCACCACACCTGGCCACCTTTTATCTTAATTAACTGATCTGAAAGTTATATTGATAAGCAAACTCTCCATTTAAAATCAATTTTGAGTGCAATAAAAATACCAACTTTCTCATCAAAATCTACAAAATACCATGTGAAATGAAATGGCATGAAGACAACAATGAGAAAACTATAGCTATAACTCAAAAAGAAGGGCTGTGATGCATACATAGTTGGAATATACATAAAATAAACACATGTGAAGAGAAGTCGAAAATAAAAGGAGAATTTTTTTTTTTTTGAGAAGGAGTCTTAAAGAAATAAAACAAAACAAAAAAAGAGAAGGAGTTTCGCTGTTGCCCAGGCTGGAGTGCAATGGCGCAATCTCAGCTCACTGCAAACTCTGCCTCCTGGGTTCAAGCAATTATCCTGCCTCAGCCTCCCAAGTAGCTGGGACTACAGGTGCCCACCACCATGCCTGGCTAATTTTTTTAGTTTTAGTAGAGACCAGGTTTCACCAGGCTGCTCTCAAACTCCTGAACTCAGATGATTCCTCTGCCTCAGCCAGAACTGCTCTTTAAATTCAGAAAGATTCCGTTTTACAGTCTGGAAAAAGATATCCTCTCTAAATCAAAATCAATCTTTCTTCTTCACCATTGATATTTTTCATCTCTGAGTTGAAGTTACAAATTACTCCAGCAGAAATATTTATGAATTATTATGGAGCATCTATTATACAGCAAAAACTGTAATGTATGTTTGCTACCTTAACACATAAAAACATCCTCATGACTTGCTAAGCACAGTGACTCAAGCCTGTAATCCTAGCACTTTGGAAGGCAGAGGTGGGTGGGATCACTTGAGGCCGGGAGTTGGAGACAAGCCTGACCAACATGGTGAAACCCCATCTCTACTAAAAATACAAAAATTACCTTGGCATCGTGCCGCATGCCTGTAATACCAGCTACTTGGGAGGCTGAGGCTGGAGAATCATTTGAACCTGAGGTGGAAGTTGCAGTGAGCCAGTCGCACCACTGCACTCCAGCCTGGGCAACAGAGACAGACTCCGTCTCAGGAAAAAAAAAAAAAAAAAAAAAAACCTCCTCCTGACTTATGAAGCCTCTCTAGTACTTATCTGAACAAACTGACTCAATAAATAAAAATACTTGTGTCAATACTACAAAGTGAAAGGAACAATCACTAAAGAAAAGAAAGTGTATAAATTGTTCTCCCATTAAAAGAACAAAATGGAGTGCACCAACTCAACAAAGTATAACAATACACTAATTTTGGAATTAACATCTAAAAATTATTTTGAGTGTACTAAATTTTCTGTCGGGCGCCCGGTTAGCTCAGTTGGTGAGCTCCTGGTGCTCAACTGCCCAAGGCCATGTGCTCGATAAAAAGTCTTATAATCACAGACCAGCTCACATAATAAATACTTCACAAATTACAGAACAAAAAAAATATGTAAGAAACAAAGTATGGGTCTAGCCTGAGTACCAGGCAAGTAAATAGAGATTTACATGGGAAGATTCAGAACTGGAAGTCATGGACTTTACAGTAGTAAATTCAATACAAAGCACATAGTATGTGTTTGCTTTCAGCATTTTTTTAGGTTTTTAGCTTTATAGTAGTCACCTCATTAAAATGATTTTTGTTCTCATATTGCTCTTTTCAAACTGATACACATAGAAACACACACCATAATCTTCTTACATCTAAGGTTTCTCTTTAGACTAATATATATTTAACTCCATGTAAATAAAAAAACTAAAAGTCTGTATGTGTTTGCAGGCAGACAGGCCACATGTTCAACGAAAAATAAGAAATTTGGAAAAAAAACCAAGAATTTAAAAATAAATTATATTTACACTTGTCTATAATTGTTATTATGACCATAAAAATAACCCTGTAGGGCCGGGCATGGTGGCTCAAGCCTGTAATCCCAGCACTTTGGGAGGCTGAGGCAGGTGGATCATGAGGTCAGGAGATCAACATGGTGAAACCCCATCTCTACTAAAATACAAAAACAAAAACAAAAAGTACAATTAGCCAGGTGTAGTGGCACGTGTCTGTAGTCCCAGCTACTCAGGAGGCTGAGACAGGGGAATAGCTTGAACCTGGGTGGCAGAGGATGCTGTAAGCCAGGATTGTGCCATTGCACTACAATCTGGGTGACAGAGCAAGGCTCTGTCTCAAAAAAAACAAAACAAACAACAACAAAAAAAACCCGTAGTAAATAACAATTGTACATGTAAAAAAATTTTTAAGTGTAAAATTGGATTGTTTGTAAAACAAAGAATAAATGCTAGAGGTGAGGGATGCCTCAATTAACACTGATATTATTATTACATATTGTATCCCTGTATTATAATATGCCATATATTGCATAAATATATACTCATGTACCCACCAAAATTAAAATAAATTTAAATGATTAAAAACAATAAAAATTTAACCTACAGAAACAATATTCTTTACCTTATTTGCAGTTGAAAGCCCCAGGGGAAAAAAAAAGTCACTAGAGATGTTAATCCATTATGTTACTAAATAGTATATTGTTACCACCTTTTACCTATACCCTTTAGTAAGGTGGGAGAGGATAAAGGTTGTGGCATAATGCTTCATTGAATGCAGAATAATATTTAACATGTAAAAATGTTGAATTAAACTGTTAGCTTCACACATAATCTAAAATTTTTAAAAATGTACTGCATTTTATTATATAAAAGTACAATTAGGCCGGGCGCGGTGGCTCACTCCTGTAATCCCAGCACTTTGGGAGGCCATGGCGGGTGGATCACGAGGTCAAGAAATCGAGACCATCCTGGTCAACATGGTGAAACCCCGTCTCTACTAAAAATACAAAAAATTAGCTGGGCATGGTGGCGTGTGCCTGTAATCCCAGCTACTCGGGAGGCTGAGGCAGGAGAATTGCCTGAACCCGGGAGGCGGAGGTTGCAGTGAGCCGAGATCGCGCCATTGCACTCCAGCCTGGGTATCAAGAGCAAAACTCCATCTCAAAAAAAAAAAAGTACAATTAGTATAATATACTACTCATTTTAAATAAAATTAAGCATGTCTTTGCATGATAATGCAGAATATTACTCTGAACACCTACATCATGCATCACTCAATATTATAAGTTGACCTCTAAGAGGCTCCCCACTCAGATTTTCATTGTGCCTTTTACATTTTAATGTCTTACTTTTCTATAGAAAAGATCATAAATAATGCCCACCTGATGAAAAATAATCTCTTGGCTCATGCCTGTAATCTCAGCACTTTGAGAGGCCCAGTGGGTGGATTACGAGGTCAGGAGTTCAAGACCACCAACATGGTAAAACCACATCTCTACTAAAAAAACAAATTATTTGTGCATGGTGGCAGCAGCCTGTAATCCCAGCTATTTGGGAGGCTGAGAAAGGAGAATCGCTTCAACCAGGGATGTGGAGGTTCTCCTGCCTAGGCAACAAGAGCAAAAATCCATCTTAAAAACCAAACCAAACCAAAACAGAATGTCTCCTATCTTTGATGCAGCAACAATGGATCCCATGCTTTCATGTGTGAATCCAATAGAAATGAAAAAACAGTAGGAAATAATTTTAAGGTTGAATGACGTTATTATTCACTTCTCAAAAAATCTGTAATACTTTTCAAGAAATATACTTTGTATGCAATAATAATTCTGCAAAAAACCTTATGATCCTCTTAAAGTTGTATACAAATAATTTCTCTCCCAACTTTAGTTTTAGATTTTCTGTACTCAGCACTCTGATTTAGGATGTCTGATGTGTCAGTGCCTTGTATATTTCTACCATAAATCCTCTGATATTTGCATAGACTTAATTGTGGATTAAATATTTTTTACTTTTATTACATCTGCAAAAATATCTCCGAGTATAAACTGTTATTTTCTAAGCTGTAGTTTTTGAAAGTTTTTCCAAATCTATTACATCTGCACAATTTTTCTTCAATATAAATCCCCTAATGCAGAAAAGTTTGAGCAACTACTTCAGTTTTCCTCTAGAACAAAATGTCTATAATAAGATCTATGATACCAGTAAAGAGGTATAACTCTCTTTATATTTGTAATGTTCATCTTCAAAATAAACTCTTCACTATAAAAGCTTATATTTTCTGAAAAATCTTGATAGAAATTGCACTAATAATGCTTTTATTAAGTACGAATTCTCTGCTGTTAAGATGTGAGCATGTGGTGTGAGATGTGAGTAACATGTAAGATAAAAATGGGTTTTTCAGTCTTTATATTTGTAAAATTTATCTCAAGTATAAATGCTTTCCTGTACAATAAGGAATGAGCATTGGTTACAAGTTTTGCCACATTCTTCACACGTGTACGCATTTTCTCTGATATAAATTAGCTTACCTAAATCAAGTTTGACAACTATTTAAAGGCCTCATCTCATTCTTCAGAGTTCTAGGATTTCTCACCACGATAATCTCTTTTATGGTTAGAAAAGTTTGATGTGTTGTCAAAAGCATTGTCACGTATTTCTGGTTTGTAGTGTTTCTTTCCAGTATAAATTATCTTATGTCTGTTAAGAATTGAGGGCTTATTAAAGGGTTTGCCATGTTCACACTCACAGGATTTCTGTACAGTATAAATTAATTTTTTAATACTTAGTAAGAATTGAGGACTGGTTAAAGGCTTTGCTACATTCTTTACATTTGTAGAGTTCCTCTCCAGTATGAATTATTTTGTTTAATAAGGTTCAAGGTCTGGTTAAAAGCATTGCCACATTCTTCATAGTTGTAAGGTTTTTTTACAGTATGAATTTTCCTATGTTTAGTAAGAGTTGAGGATTGGTTAAAGGCTTTGCCACATTCTTCACATTTGTAAGATTTCTCTCCAGTATGAATTATCTTATGTTTTGTAAGGTTTGATGACCGGTTAAAAGCTTTGCCACATTCTTCACATTTGTAGGGTTTCTCTCCGGTATGAATTCTCCTATGTGTAGTAAGGATTGAGGATTGGCTAAAAGCTTTGCCACATTCTTCACACTTGTAAGGTTTCTCTCCAGTATGAATTATCTTATGGGCAGTAAGTTGTGGGGACCGGTTAAAGGCTTTGCCACATTCTTCACATTTGTAGGGTTTCTCTCCAGTATGAATCATCTTATGTGTGGTAAGGTTTGAGGACTCATTAAAGGCTTTGCCACATTCATTGCATTTGTAGGGTTTCTCTCCAGTATGAATTCTTTTATGTTTAGTAAGGGTGGAGGACCAGTTAAAGCCTTTGCCACATTCTTCACATTTATAAGATTTCTCTCCAGTATGAATTATTTTATGTTTAGTAAGGTATGAGAATCGGTTAAAAGCTTTGTCACATTCTTCACATTTGTAGGGTTTCTCTCCAGCATGAATGAATTTATGTGTAGTAAGGGTTGAAGACTGGTTAAAGGCTTTGCCACATTCTTCACATTTGTAGGGTTTCTCTCCAGTATGAATTATCCTGTGTGTAGTAAGGTGTGAGGACCGGTTGAAGGCTTTGCCACATTCTTCACATTTGAAGGGTTTCTCTCCGGTATGAATTATCTTATGTGTAGTAAGTGTTGAGGACTGCTTAAAAGCTTTGCCACATTCTTCACATTTGAAGGGTTTCTCTCCAGTGTGAATTCTCTTGTGTCTAGTAAGGGTTGAGAACCACTTAAAAGCTTTGCCACATTCTTCACATTGGTAAGAATTCTCTCTAATGTGAATTCTTTTATGTTGACTTAGGTGTAAAAGCATGCAAAATGATTTGTCACATTTTTTACATTTGAAAGGTTTCTTTCCAATCTGTCTTATCTTATGTCTATTTGAATTTAAAATTTTATGAAAGGCTTTCATATATTGATCACATTGAAATACTTTGCTCTGGGTAGTTGTGAAACACTGGCTGAGTCCATTATAAACTTTGTGCACCTTACATTCATCCACCACACTTTCACAGCCTTTTCTTAACTGTAAATTCTCATGTCCACATTTCCCATATCTTCTCAGTATCACTTGTTGAAAAGAATCTTTTATGTCTTGCTCTGGCCAGAGGTCTTTGGGAAAAGAAGAACACATAGCTGAAAGAAATTAAAAAAACAAATTATTAAACTTACTATACTTAGATTAACATACTTTGCAAATCTAACCTATATTATACAAACTACATAAGATGCCATAATAAAATACCATAGGCCCTAAGTCCCTCATAGACAAATAAATGTAATAAAAACATAGTGACCAAAATATATTGGAGGAACACTTACAAATAAATGTGTAAAGTTCCCCAGATGAGTACAATGCAAAGATACAGAAGAAAAAGAAAAATCTATTACATTTACCCAAGGCATTTTTCCTGCCCCCTAATATAACCTAGTGCCTTTCAAAGTTGGTTTCTTTTTTAATAAAGAAGTAAATTACTGGCATACCCATCTTTATTTCTTGCTTCTAGGGGCCTTTCAGGAAAACTAGTCTCCCATAACATAAAGTGTTAAAAGAAATTAAAAGAATTAATTATTCTCTCCACAGCAAAAAAGATTTTTTTAGTCATCCCTGACAAAGATGCCTTCATGAGAGAGCCAGGCATCATAACTCATATCTGTAATGATAACTATGTGGCACACTCAGGTTGAAGAATTTCTGCAGGCCAGGATTTCAAGGCCAGCCCAGGTAATAAACAAGACCCCGTCTCCAAAGTCAGTACCTTAAGAGACCTTTGAGATATAGGGAGGGGATTGTAAAACTCTGCTAAAGCCCTAGATTGAGGAGTGTTCTTTTCAGAGGACAGGAACTCATTCAGATGGGAAAGTGCAGGACCCCTGGCCTTGGCTACAGACCAAGAAATGGCCCAACCAACTTGGTCCCACTGAGAATTCTGTAGATAACCCTGTAACTATCCCAACCTCCTCCCAGTTACAGTCTGGAAGAGGTCCTGTCCTTCCAGAGATGTGGAGGAAGATACACATTTACAGCCATGCAAACCAGCCTGCAGTCCTTGATTTTTACTGTGGCCCCTCAAGTAGTTCAATAACTCAGTTCCAGATCTCTGAGCCACAGTTCATGACCACTTTTGCCTAAATAGCAATCCACACAGTAACCTGAGACAATCCTCTCTGGTAATCACTCAGTGAAAGCCACACCCATTCACATCCTAATATAAGGGCCATTATGTATGGACCCAACTGCAGAAACCTGTCCTACAGATCAAAGTACTGAAGGATATTCAGTATTTCCAAAAATCAAGTAAAACTTACAATTACCCAAACCCTTTGTAACAAGCCACCTAAAGGTGGACCCTAGTGCAGACGCAGCAGCCTGTGACCAAGCTATAAACCCTCCACTACAAACCCAGAGGGCATCCCATCACTCTAGGTACACAATAACCTTTGCTTCTTGAAACCAGTTTATAAAAGCTTAAAGAGATGTTGCCCCGGGCCAGGCGCGGTGGCGCAAGCCTGTAATCCCAGCACTTTGGGAGGCCGAGGCGGGTGGATCACGAGGTCAAGAGATCGAGACCATTCTGGTCAACATGGTGAAACCCCGTCTCTACTAAAAATACAAAAAATTAGCTGGGCATGGTGGCGCGTGCCTGTAATCCCAGCTACTCAGGAGGCTGAGGCAGGAGAATTGCCCGAACCCAGGAGGCGGAGGTTGTGGTGAGCAGAGATCGCGCCATTGCCCTCCAGCCTGGGTAACAAGAGCGAAACTCCGTCTCAAAAAAAAAAAAAAAGAGATGTTGCCCCTTCAAATTTGCAGACACCAGTATACAACAACATCGTGCCCACCGCCAGTGCTTCTATTTTAATGTAGCACTGGAAGTGTGTGGCACAAGAATTGGCCAAAAACATTTTTAAAAAGCCAATGGAATTGAAAAGAACTAAGTAAAAAGTTGCTGTTTGTGGATCGTATGATCTTATATAAAAAAACCATAAACAGTACATTAAAATTTGTCTAAACTAATAAATACGGTCAGTAACTTAAGAAAATATAAAATTAACATACAGGTTATAGTTCCATACACTTAAAATAATCTGATACAATAAAGAAAATAATTTTATAATTGCATTAAAATAATAAATTTCTGAGAACACATTTAACCAAGAAGATGAACAATCTTTATAATGAAATATACAAGATATTAATGAAAGAAATTAGAGAAGACAAAAGTAAATTTTAAAATATTTTCTGTTAGCTGGGTGCTGTGGCTCACACCTGTAATCCCAGCACTTTGGGAGGCCAAGGTGGGTGGATCACGAGGTCCAGAGTTTGAGACTAGACTGACCAACATGGTAAAACCCCGTCTCTACGAAAAATACAAAAATAAGCCAGGTGTGCTGGCGTCTGCCTGTAATCCTAGCTACTCAGAAGACTGAGGCAGGAGAATTGCTTGAATCTGGGAGGTGGAGGTTGCAACGAGCCAAGATCATGCCACTGCACTCCAGCCTGGATGATAGAGACTCCTCTCAAAAAAACAAAAGGTAAATAATTACTTTGAAAAACAATTAAAAATAAAATAAAAATATTTTATGTCAGCTGAATACAGTGGCTCAGACCTGCAATCCCAGCACTTCGGGAGGCCAAAGCAGGTGAATCACAACATCAGGAGATCAAGACCATCCTTGGCAACATGGTGAAACCCTGCCTCTACTAAAAATACAAAAATTAGCCAGGCATAGTAGAACATGCCTGTGATCCCTACTACTCAGGAGGCTGAGGAAGGAGACTCACTTTAATTCAGGAAGTGGAGGTTACAGTGAGCCAAAATTGCACCACTGCACTGCAGCCTGAGTTACTGAGCGAGAATATGTCTCAAAGAAAAAAACAATTATGTCTGTGGATTGAAAGATTATTGCTGGGCACAGTGGCTCATTCCTGTAATCTCAGCACTCTGGGAGGCCAAGGCTGGCATATCACCTGAGGTCATGAGTTTGAGACCAGCCTGACCGACATGGAGAAACCCCATCTAAAACAAAAACACAAAATTAGCTGGGAGTGGTGGCGCATGCCTGTAATCACAACTACTCAGGAGGCTGAGGCAGAAGAATGGCTTGAACCCAGGAGGGAGAAGTTGCAGTGACCCATATCATGCCACTGCACTCCAACCTGGGAAACAAGAGTGAAACTTCATCTCAAACAAAAACAAAAACAACAAAAAAAGAATAAATCTTGTTAAAGTGCCATAGTATCTAAAGTAATCTATACATTCAATAAACTTTCTATCAAAATTCCACTGGCATTTTTTTCCTAGTAATAGAAAATACAATTCTAAAATTTACAAGAAACTACAATAAATTTAAATAGCCTAAGCATTCTTGAGAAAAAAGAACAAAGCAGTGGGACATCATAATTTACCTTTTATAAAAATTTTTTTTTAAATATTTTTATTTTTTTGAGGTGGAGTTTTGCTCTTGTTGCCCAGGCTAGAGTGCAATGGCACAATCTTGGCTCACTGCAACCTCTGCCCTCCAGGTTCAAGTGATTCTCCTGCCTCAGCCTCCCGATTAGCTAGGACTACAGCCACATACCCATGCCCGTATAATTTCTGAATTTTTAGTAGAGATGGGGTTTCACCTTGTTAGTCAGAATGGTCTCGCTCTCCTGACTCAAGATCTGCCCTCCTTGGCCTCCCAAAGTGCTCAGATAACAGGCATAAAAGCCACCATGTTCAGCATAATTTTCAATTTCAAGCTATATTTTGACTATAATAATACAAACAGAATGGAATATGCAGAAAAAGTAATAAAGAAACCTCTAATGGAACAGAAAACACTAATCTCACACATTTCAGACATGACGCAAAAAGAGAAGTACTAGTTTAACAGTTTTTCAAAATTATGTAAATATTTGTGTGCCCCCCCAAAACAATAAAAAAGCAGATTGTACAGTCTTTACATGCCATGAAGAGGACTTTTGCTCTCACTGTAAATGAAGGAAGATCACCCCAAAAAAGTAGAATTTTTAGAGAATTTAAAAGCATAAGACAAAAGATGCTCCCATGTGAGAGAAAAATTTAACAAAATATTCAAGCTTCTCAAAAACAATTTGCTTTTCAACACAGCTTCCCAAATCACGTTGTAAAAACTGACTTTTTTTTAAAAACCTTGGGACCTCTCATCTGTGTTGTCTGTTGTAGTCACTTTCACCTACCTGTGGGTCTGGCCACCATCTCATGTCTCTTCATATTACAGGGCTCTTTTGTTTGCTCCAGACAGGTGATGGGGTTTTGCTTGGAGACAGCAATATCTGCTTTATTAAAAATAAATAACATGAATCTTTCTTACCAAACTAGTACTGTGTTCAGTAAAAAGGATGTAATAGAATATTCTAGAAAATTAATCCCAAAATACTAATTATTGAGAGACATCTATAAATAGTTAGAAAAATTTTAAATTTGTAGGTCCTTAATTTTACTTCCTGGTACTCATGAATCAAAAACTGATGGTGGCAAATAGATTTTAAAATATGGACAATGATATTTTGTGCCACTAAATTTCAGGAATTAAAATTAATCTAGAGTAAAGGATACAGATCAGCTCAGGAATGTGGAAAGTTCAGGTCAAGATAAAACATGCTGAAGAAATTCTTTTCTACGTGAACAAATCATCAAGATTTTTTAAAAACAGGGATCAGAAACTCATTTATACAAAGCATAAATTACAAAAATAAAAAATTCACAGAAAAAGAGACATAAACTTCTAAGGTATGTTAAGAATTGTGTATTAAAGTTATACTCACCCAAGAAGACCAGGTTTCTGTAGTTCTCTAACATCACATTTCTATATAAATTCTGCTGAGCAGGGTTCAGGCATTGCCACTCCTCCAGAGAGAATTCTATGGCCACATCCCTAAATGTCAGTGTCTCCTGAAAAACACACAGACACACATATATTTACCAAATGGCCATGGGAAGAATTTTTTATTAAGAATTTTTTATTTGAATCAATTATTTGAAATGAGGGAATAGAGATAATTGGTTCTGACTTATAAAAATAACTGAAATTGGGGGGTGGGGAAGAAAAAAAAATAACTGAAATTATCCAGTAATTTTCAACACAGAAATATTCTCTAATGTATTCTCTTACTCTGAGGGAAGAGGATGGCATAAGATCCACATTACTAGTGCATATCTGATACTCCTCTGAATGATAAAATATATAATTAAGGATATAAACATAAAGTATACATTTTTAGTGCTATATTTACATCATAATGAGTTGTGTATATTTTTCAGACCAAAAAAAAACCATGTTGAGTTATAAGGTAACTCAAATTTAAATATGTACAATAAACTGGAGATTCTGTCATGAGAATTTTTTTTTTGTCCAGAAGATCTAGAATAAAGTCTGAGTTTTTAAAATTCTGACAAGATCTCTAGTAATGCCAATGTTTTTGACCCAAGAAGACTATCTTGTCAAACATTCAGTAAGTGAAAGGCAATGTTTTTCCCAATTTTTTCTGCCTATGAAGAAAGATAAGAGCCTTCATTTTCTGGCCGTGTGCAGTGGCTCATGCCTGTAATCCCAGCACTTTGGGAGGCCGAGGTGGGTGGATCACGAGGTCAAGAGATCGAGACCATCCTGGTCAACATGGTGAAACCCCGTCTCTACTAAAGATACATAAAATTAGCTGGGCATGGTGGCGCATGCCTGTAATCCCAGCTACTGAGGAGGCTGAGGCAGGAGAATTGTTTAAACCTGGGAGGTGGAGGCTGCAGTAAGCCGAGATCATGCCACTGCACTCCAGCCTGGTGACAGAGCAAGACTCTGTGTTAAAAAAAAAAAAAAAAAACTGAGAAAAACTGGCAGCTGCCAGATTAAATGTGATGATTTATGCATATTAGCTGCATAAAGACACTTAATAATGAAGAGAAAAATAATTAACTCTATAGTTTAAAAAAAAAAAGAGCTGTTTAACCAAGAAAATTATTAACATCAATTACCTAGAACAACATTTTTTTTTTAAGACGGAGTTTCGCTCTTGTTACCCAGGCTGGGGTGCAATGGCTCAATCTCGGCTCACCGCAACCTCTGCCTCCTGGGTTCAAGCAATTCTCCTGCCTCAGCCTCCTGAGTAGCTGGGACTACACGCATGCGCCACCATTCAAAGCTAATTTTTGTGTTTTTAGTAGAGACAGGGTTTTACCATGTTGACCAAGATAGTCTCGATCTCTTGACCTCGTGATCCGCCCACCTCAGCCTCTCAAAGTGCTGGGATTATAGGTGTGAGCCACCGCGCCCGGCCTCCTAGAACAATTTTTTATGATGTGCTGTTTCACACAGAAGAACACAGCATCACTGCTGAGATATTGCCCCTCAAAAAGTCAATTATAGACTGAATTTAATCAGAAAGAAAAATTAGTTTTATGTAAAGGTGAAGATATCTTCCATGTTCTATACTTTTTAACAATGATTTTAAGTAATCTTTCTTTAGCACCCTAGAAAGCAGGTATCTCTAAATAGTTTTTTTCAAAACATCCTGGGTAATAAATGCCATCCCATTTACATAAGCATTTTCTTAATCCTGTTCTGCACAGTGCTAATGAAGAACACAGATGAAACCTCAACATTACATCTTCTCCATCTTTACTAATGATCTCAGCTTTCCCCCAATAAGAATCATGAGTATCCACATCTTCCCATGTTCAAGAGCAACAAAAAGAACACTTTTAATATGGAAGATCATAAATTCATGGTAGGAATTCTGCATTGCATATAAGAAGCCATGATGTAGAGAAGTCTCTGGTACATAGGAAAGAAATATTTTTTAGAGACTCCTGACTATCACAACATTTTAAAAAGTACTTGAAACAAACTCATGGGGAGGAAAAACACAAGGAGAGAAGTAAAGCTTTGTGAGTCCTAAATGTCTGGCACTCCAGGAAGCAGAGTGGACACAGCTCTTGATCTGAGACATGTTTAGCTGAAAAGAAGCTATTTTTCCTCCTTCTCTGGAAAACCTTTTCAGAGAAAATGCTCTGGACAAGTAATACCCGTATCATGAGAAAATGCCCTTAAAGACTCAGCACTACCTGCTTACCTGCTAGTCTCACACCCACAGACAGAAGGACCAAGACCAAAAGGTCCACCCATTTCTCTCCTTTAAAATAGAAGAGATTCAGAAACAATTAGCTGAATGGAAATAAAAATATACATTCCTCTTTCCCTGTCCACAGGTGCCCTCCCTGCCACACACACCAGCAATTTCTGCTCCAGTAATGGAAATGTAAGCCACATTGCCCTGTCCCTACCAAAGTCAAACAGAATAGGCTCTGTGACCACCTTTCACTGCAAAGGTGACACTTAACTCTCAGGAATGTATCTTGAAGCCCTCACACTTGATTCTGACCTCACCTTAGAGTCATATGAGGCACTTAATTAAAATAACATGAATGCTTCCATCCAGAACAATAAACAAAACCAGTGAAAAGGGCACAAGTAAGATTTCTGCAAATTGACCATGACATCTGAATGAGAAGAGTGGGCTGATAAGCACTGCCTCTCAAGCTTTAATGAGCTTAAAACTTACTTGGTAATGTTGGTCCCACTCTGTGTAATTGAATCTACAGGTTTGGAAAAACACCATGAATGTGTGTTTCAAACAAGTCCCCTGCCAGTGCTAATGTTGCTCCCCCTGGGTTCATTATTAGCAGTAGAGAAAGTACACACAGCACAGATTCCTTACACTCAGCACTCTTGTCACAACATAAATACTTCTGATACAAATGAAGACAACCCATCTTTATCCTTAAGTTTCATAGTCTTTGCTGACTCTTTGAAGTTTTCAGAGGAAAGAGAAAGCAGCAATTTCTGAATAAGTCTGCATCTGAAAAACAACATGTACACACGTAATAATACAATGTTTATTAAGCAGGGACTATCTGCTCAAGAGTATGTTACAAAGCACCGTGCTGGGAATAACACATTATGTGATTTCATCCTCATAACACCCTGGAAATCGATACTAACAGTTCATTAATTCTCAGGATTGAGATAAAATGTCTGCCATTTCTATTTCTTTCTCTGTTTCTCTGTCATTGATTTTTTTTAAATGTATAGAATAAAAGTTAAATACTGACAGATGAGAGGAATATACAAAAGTTTATGTCATTTAGAGAGATTTTTATGTGTTTATATTTACTTTTTGTTACGTGTGGAGCAACTACTGGATCTGCAGGAATAGAACACAAGTTACTAAATGGAATGTTTCTCTAAGCAATGGTTTTAACACAAAATTTAAAAATTAAAATCCTAAAACATATATTTATTTTTCTCATTTACTTGCTTTTGGGTTTCTGAAAACTGTGACCACCAGCTCTAGAAAGGCAGCAGAATTCACAAGACAAAACTCTTATTTATGTGTTTATATTTTTAGACAAAATCTTGCTCTGTCATGGAGGCTGGAGTGCAATGGCATGATTTTCCATTTATTGAATGACCATATGAAATGGAAGCAATTAGTTTATCTGTTTGAGTCACCAGACCTCCTCTTTGTCTTTCACCCAAGTACCAGGAAACTGGAGAAACTCTCATGTTGGTACTGACTACAGCTCTCTGTTGTATGAGGGAAGAAAAAAACACACAGTTACTTCTTTCTCTTATACCGAGTCAGAAGCAGAGTTAATCACTGTTGTTAGCCTAACACAGTTCTGCCCTGGACACTCAAATATCTCAAAGATGCCTACGGTTCACTGAAACCCTAAGAGAGCGTTCTTCGTGACCTGGGGCTGATGGCCCAATGGTAAGCCAGGCTGGAGAGACCTGAGCTGATTCTAAATAGAAAATTAGGCCGGACGCAGTGGCTTAAGCCTGTAATCCCAGCATTTTGGGAGGCCGAGGGAGGTGAATCACGAGGTCAAGAGATCGAGACCATCCTGGTCAACATGGTGAAACCTCGCCTCTACTAAAAAATACAAAAAATTAGCTGGGCATGGTGGCGCGTGCCTGTAATCCCAGCTACTCAGGAGGCTGAGGCAGGAGAATTGCTTGAACCCAGGAGGCGGAGGTTGCGGTGAGCCGAGATCGCGCCATTGCGCTCCAGCCTGGGTAACAAGAGTGAAACTCTGTCTCAAAAAAAAAAGAAAAGAAAATTGAACTGCTCTGGTGGAGCTCTAGGACCTGGATCACCTATCCTGATTCATTAGCTTTTAGGTAAGAGGAAGGACATTCTACTCCAACATCATAGTTTACAGGTAGATATAGTTGTGGTCATAGTTCTGGATACTTTGTGGCCTTGATCTCTCACTCTTAAGATGCTTGTTTGAACTTAAAGATTCTGTCATCACTCTATACCTGGAGACTTTTTTTTTTTTTTTTTTGAGACAGAGTTTTGCTGTTGTTACCCAGGCTGGAGTGCAATGGTGCGATCTCGGCTCACCGCAACCTCCGCCTCCTGGGTTCAGGCAATTCTCCTGCCTCAGCCTCCTGAGTAGCTGGGATTATGGGCACGCGCCACCATAACCAGCTATTTTTTTTGTATTTTTAGTAGAGATGGGATTTCACCATGTTGACCAGGATGGTCTCAATCGCTTGACCTTGTGATCCACCTGCCTCGGCCTCCCAAAGTGCTGGGATTACAGGCTTGAGCCACCACGCCTGGCTACCTGGAGACTTTCACATAACTGTAGCAGGTCACTGAACAAGATCTGAAAAACTCAAAAAGCCACACTCTCAAAGGGGAATTTTAGATGCGTATGTTGGCAGACAATGCCTCCTGTTAGTTTTCTGTATATTCTCAATCCAAAATCTAGTCCTGTCTTGTGAATCCCAGGCAGATTCTAGATGGGATCACCCGGTTTGCATCCTTGGGTGTTACAGCAAACAGAGTACAATCAAAATAGAAATCTCTTAGAGGCTGCTCTAGTAAAGCTGAGGCTACATGAATATAAGTAGAGAGTTCACTTAGGCCAAACATGAGGATTGTAACCCTGAAGCAAAGATACATCCTCCAAAGACTAAACAACAACAGCAACAAAAGAGAATCCCTGAATAGGCCAATAACAAGCTCCAAAATTCAATTAGCAATAAATAGCCTAACAACCAAAAAAAGTACAAATTTACAGCTGAATTCTACCTGATGTACAAAGAGCTGGTACCACTTCTACCAAAATTATTTCAAAATACTGAGTAAAAGGGACTTTTTCAATTCATTACATAAGAATAGCATCATTCTGATACCAAAACCTGGCAGAGATAACACACAACATAAAAAGCTTCAGGCCAATATCCAAGATAAACACTGAAGACAATATTCTCCAAAAAAAAAAAATACTGGTAGATCAAATACAGGAGCACCCCCAAAACCTAACTCAGTGTGATCAAGTAGGTTATATCTCTGGGATGCAAGGTTGTTTCATATACAATTGATAAATGTTATTCATCACATAAACAGAACAAAAGACAAAAGCTGCAAGACTATCTCAATAGATGCCACAAAAGCTTTCAAAAATATTTAACATCTTTCATGTTTAAAACCATCAGAGGCCAGGCATGGTGGCTCACGCCTATAATCCCAGTACTTTGGGAGGCCGAGGCGGGTGGATCACAAGGTCAAGAGATTGAGACCATCCTGGTCAACATGGTGAAACCCCATCTCTACTGAAAATACAAAAATTAGCAGGGCGTAGTGCATGCGCCTGTAATCCCAGCTACTGGGGAGGCTGAGGCAGAATTGCTTGAACCCGGGAGGAGGAGGTTGCAGTGAGCCGAGATTGTGCCACTGCACTCCAGCCTGGCACCTGGCAACAGAGTGAGACTGTCTCAAAAAAAAAAAAGCAAAAAGAAAAACAAAACAAAAAAAACCTCCTTTTGCAAGCTCAATATTAGCCTTAGCTGTTAGTCACTGGGCTTGATTCAATTTCCATGTTAGTTACTCACTTGGTTTTTGAAACAACTTGTTTGAAAAATTCAGCAAAATTGCTCAAACACAGTGTTCAAATAAGGGAAGGAAATTTTAAAGTACTTACTTTTTTTTTTTTAAGACGGAGTTTTGCTCTTGTTACCCAGGCTGGAGTGCAATGGCGCGATCTTGGCTCACCGCAACCTCCGCCTCCTGGGTTCAGGCAATTCTCCTGCCTCAGCCTCCTGAGTAGCTGGGATTACAGGCACGCACCACCATGCCCAGCTAATTTTTTGTATTTTTAGTAGAGACAGGGTTTCACCATTTTGACCAGGATGGTCTTGATCTCTTGACCTCGTGATCCACCCGCCTCGGCCTCCCAAAGTGCTGAGATTACAGGCTTGAGCCACCGCGCCCGGATAAAGTATTTACATTTTATACCTCAGTAAGAAAAGCAAAAGTATCTATTCCTATTAGACAATATGTTATTTTACTGTTTTTATTAAAAATCATTTGGTACACAATTAGTCATACGGAAATACTTCTAGGTGGTACCAAGTTTCATCTCATAAAATTTAGCATGAAACTCAGAAATCATGATAACAGGATTTGAACAGATATATTCACTGTCACAAATTTACCCTGCAGAAAGAAAGTGATATTTTCATGAATCTATGTAACTCACCAATTATCTACCACATTTTCTCATGAAAATGTATTAATTTTCCACAGCCAAAAAAGAATAGAGATTTCCCTGTTCTTTTCCTCAGTAGCTAGCATTCTAAAAACTAAGCCTTGGAATTCTGTTTGAACTCATCCAGCCATTAAAAAAAAAATCACCTCCAGGAAAGAAAAAGGTAAATGAGAATTTTTTTTTTCTTTCTTTTTTTGTTTTTTTACAGTGAGCTGAGTGAGTTTTTCATGCAGGCAGGTAAATGAGAATTTTTAACAAATAAAATATATAATTAGACCTCTTTTTTCTAAAACCCACCTCTTTGATGCCCTCTGTAAATATTTTCCTAACAGCTGGCCGTGGTGGCTCATGCCTGTAATCCCAGCACTTTGAGAGGCCCAGGCAGGCAGATTATCCCAGGTCAGGAGATCAAGAGCAGCCTAGCCAACATGGTGAAACCCCATCTTTACTAAAAAAGAAATAAAAGTAAAAATAAATAAATAAATATATAAATTAGCCGGTCATGGTGGTTCATGCCTGTAATCCCAGCTACTCAGGAGGCTGAGGCAGTAGAATCAATTGAACCTGAGAGATGGAGATTGCAGTGAACTGAGATCTTGCCACTGTACTTCAGCCTGGCAACAAAAGTGAAACTGTCTAAAAAAAAAATTCTACCTTTCAAGACCTACTAAATGAAATTTACAGCTAAAAAACTGAGGTCAGAATCAGTAAACAAATATTTTCAAGGTGAAAAACCCAGGGTGACAAACCCAGGCAGTGCTGATTAAAAAACAGATGTGCCTGACTTATGTTTCAAGTCAGGCCATTCAATCACTTGAGAGATTCTTCCACTCACTCCTGCTCACTTATGTGCTCAAGAACCACACATTCAGGAGACACTGCATTATGCCCCAGTGACTGTGTCAGGGGCATTTTACTTCACAAGTTCTTACGCCATCTGACTGGAGTCCCTTTTTTGTTTGTTGGTTTGGCCTTTTGGGATACTATTTTTCTTACATCATATTTATTTCATTATCTGTCTGATAATAAAATAAATTCTCTACCCTTAGAGAATCCAGGGGGCAGAGATTATTTCTGTGTTTTCCCCTCAGTACCAGTATCTGATTGGCTGACCAGCAATGTGTGCCCAAGAAGTAAAAGCTGGGTTTTGTGTAGATAATTTTAATGTCTCAGGGGTTACCTTCTCAAAAAAAAGGAGTACACCAGAAGATTCCTCTGAGCCCCAGGGCATCCACTTGCTTCCTTGAGAGGAAACATTTTATACCTCAGGTCATCCTATGGGAGAAAATAACCCAGAAGCTGATATTCCCTAGACACTTTAGCTGACATAACCATGGTGGATATCTTGGTTTATCCCAGACAGTACTGAAACCCAGGACCAGAAAAAAACTAAAGGATGGCTGAGGACACATCACCTCATAGAGATTCCAAAGTATAACCTGGACCCAAAACATTCTAACAAGATCTCTGTGCCTAGAGAGGATGTAAGGAGAAGAGGCACAAAGAGCTTTTACAATACAGCGTCAGGGGATTATTCTTTGCTTTCTTCTCATGGGTAATATTTATAAACAGATAACAAACCTTTTTAAAACCATCATTTAATGCTTTGCCAAAAATAATTAATTAAAATACGATATAGAAAAGTACACTAAGAGACAAAGAGCTGATAATATAAATTAGGGAGGAGAAGCTGGCATTTGGGAATGCCAGATTAAACTGGAAATTTAGTATCTTACTGCGAGCCAGAGTGAGGCTGGAGAAATGAGGGATAGAGGTTAGACTTAAGACACTGCTTAGGACACAGGTGCAAAATGCAACAGAAAAGCAGTTTCCCATGGAGTGTGAAAATAATTAAGTGGCAATTAGACTGAGGTGTCTCTAGTCCCTGGATTCCTGCTTAAAAAAAATCTAACTGGGGTGCATGTTTTAGTGAATAACTGCATTGAGAGAAATAAAATTCAGCCTTAACCAACTATAAACTCCCAATTAACCTCTGATTACATAATCGGGACATTTTCACCTTTATTGTACAAATGAAGAAACTCCGTAACTGTACCTAACCAGTTACTGAATTTGGTTTGCGTCATAACGCAGTTTATAAAACTCTTTCCTTCAAGCCCCGTCTATGAACCACAAATTACAAACGACAGCTGGTTGCTCGAACATTTTTGAATCACTCTTTGATTAAATTATTTAATGTTTTCAGGGTGACTCCCATACATTAACAGAAGAAAAGAGGAACTGGGAACCCCACAGACCAAAACTCTTCACACTCATGGAACCCACACCCGGAGTCAGGATTCTCCCCTGAGTACCCTCGTGTGGTCCCTGCACAATCCGGAAGAGACGCGATGCTGCGGGTGCAGAGCTGCTCAGAGATGACTCCAGACCAGGGCATAGTCAGTGTACAGGGAAGAGACAGTACACCAGGAACGGCTGTAAGCACAGCCGCCATCTTATGGTTGAAGGGGACTGAGGCCGAGCTGGGCAAAGAGAACTCGGGGCACAGATTGTGGAGCTGACTGCGGGGAGGCCTGAGTCCTGCCACAGCCACTTCCCATCGGTTCCAACCAACCCCTTCCTTTCTCTCGGAATGTCGGACTGGCATGCTCACCATTTCTGAACTTCCAGGGGGTCCTGGCGTTGGAGCTGTGGATCGCCCAATAGCTGCAGGTCACAGGGCCATAGAGGCTGGGCTTCTAGGAGCAGAAGACACAGAGAGGAGAAAACCAGACCCGGAGCCCCGGCTGCAGCAAGAGACAAAGGCCCCGCCACATCCCGGAAGCCTTCCTGTCTGCTCCAGCTGCTTGCCTGATTGGATGAGTCCCAGCCCAGCGTCGCTGATTGGATAACGTTTAAAACCCCACCTTCTCAGGCCCTGAGTGACAAGATATCAGATTCTAGGCTGAGTGAAGGAAACTGACAGCCTAGGCTGCAGCCTTTTCAGGCAGGCGCTTTCCCCGAGCTGAGCCCGGCCCACCACCGAAAGTATTAGCCTTTAAACTTGTGTGTAAAGTCATATGCATTTTAAAATAATATTTTGTATGGCTATTCACAATGAAAAGGATATAACAATTATTTTTAAATTTCAGCTTTTTTACCTTCCTGACTTCTGGTCTTTGAGCAGGCAAACAGGTTTTAGAAAGGGGGCAGTCCTGTACAGAAAGTAAATACTATCTCTCCAGTAAAAAATAAAAAAAGAAAGGAGGCAATCCTATGAAATAAAATAAGAGCCACGGCCGGGCGTGGTGGCTCACGCCTGTAATCCAAGCACTTTGGAGGCCAAGGTGGGCGGATCACCTGAGGTCGGGAGTTCAAGACCCGCCTGACCAACATGGTGAAACCCCGCCTTTAAAAAAAAAAAAAATGAGAGCCACATATGAATTTTAAATTTTCTAGTATCCAAACTTAAAAAAAAAAAAAGGATTACAGGAGCCAGCCACCACACCTAGTCCAGATACAATAGTATTAAGCAAAGCTAACTAAATTGACAGAATTTCTTTTGTAATTGAGATTGATAACAATCAGATTCACTGAGAGTGAAAAAAATGTGTTGACTATTATAAAATCATTGGCTAGGTTATGCACCTGATAATAGAACCTCATGTATTAAGGTTGAATTGATTGTAACAACGTAATCAACCCAATATGTCCATAATATTATCATTTTAATGTGTGAGATATATAATTATTAATAAAGTATATAAATATTTGGAACTAAATCTTTGAAACTAACTCTGTATTTTACTTTTCTAGCACATGGCAGTTCAGACCAGCCACATTCCAGGCACTCAGGAGCCACACATGGCCAAAAACTGCCACATTGAACTGCAGCTCCGATGTCAGGGGAGTGAAGGGTCAGAGAAAACCTTCTGCCAGAGGTGAAGGAAGAGCCTCTCCCTACCAACATCTCTCTTCAGTTCTGAGGGTGGAACATGTAGTGACCACAGAAAGAGCAGGGGGCAGCAAGAATAAAATAATTGCAAGGAGACCACTGCTGGCCACCTGTTGCCCAGTTTTTTTCCAGAGACCAGACAGTGAACAAAGGATGCTGAGGCCACGGAAGAATTAAACTCTTGTGTCTTCTGTTCTGTCCATACTCTTGACCGCCAATGTTTAGAAATGCAGAAAACAGATTAAAGGCAAACTTACTTTGCTATTTGGCCTTGGCCCTAATGGTCAAGCTGTGGATATCTGTTTTCATCTGTAGCATAGGGGACTATGTAAGTATAAATGCCAATCACACGCATAGATGTCTGCCTGTATTCTGCATTATTCAGCGTTCTCTTACAAGACATCCTACTTTAATTCAGGAGAAAACATCAGTACCTAGAGGGTGTCCATTGTTAGAAGGTAACTAATAATCTTTCATTGAATCCTGGCATCTTTTCTGCACTGGCTGCATGTATTAGTTAGCTATGGAAGTATAACAAATCATCCAAAACTGATTAGTTCATAGTTGAGATAGTCAGCCATTCAGGCTGAGCTGAGTGGGGCAATTCTTCTTGTCTCAGCTGAGCTCCTTGAGACATGTATTATCAGCTGCTTGTTGATTAGCCAGCTGTGCTTCTGGGGGTAATCTCCCGCTTCTGGGGCTGTCAACAGGGGCACCTTGCTTCTTCTCCCCATGGTATCTTATTTTCCAGCTGGATAACATGGGTTTTATTCACGGAGATGGCAGCATTCTGAAAGAAAAACAAGCATTCAAGACCATTTGAGCCTGGACCTTAAACTAGTCCACTGTCATGTTCATAGTTTTCTAGTGCCCTAAGCAAATAAGGCCAGCCAGATCTAGGGTTTGGAAAACAGATTCTGGATCTTGATCGAAACAGCTTTAAAAGCACCTGGCAATGGCATGGATACAGGAGTGATGAAAAATGGTCACCATTTTGCAATCAGTATCATTCTACCTTAGAACTCTTCCACATCAGGAAACTTGTGCAAAGACCCACAGATACTAAGTGTCTGGGCTGAGGCTCAGGGTTAACTCTGACCCCAAAGCCCGTGCACCTCCATACATAACACTACTAAAGTGGCTGCCCTGCCCTAGACCCTTGACATCCTGGAGAGTGACATTTCTACAGAAGAAGCCAGATTCCTTTCAGATTTGTGTTCATGTAGTACTGTTTATCATTGGAAATGATCATCTCAAGAAATTGCAGAAACACAACGTGGCTCACATCTGTATTTAGAGCACTTTGGTAGCCTGAGATGGGAGAATTAGGTGAGCTCAGAAGTTCTAGTGCCACCTGGACACCATAAAATGCTGTTTCCATGAAAAATAAATAAATAGCCAGCCATGGTGGTGCATGCCTATAATCCAAGCTACTTAGGTGGCAGAAGCAGGGGGATTGCTCGAGCTTGAAAGGTCAAGCCTGCAGTGAGCCATGTTTCATCACACCACTGCAATCAAGACTGGCTAATGCAGTGAGACCCTGTCTCAAAAAAAGAAAAGAAATTGAAGAAGAATTTTTTTTTTTTTTTAGACAGAGTTTCACTCTTGTTTCCCAGGCTGGAGTGCAATGGTGTGATCTCGGCTCACTGCAACCTCCATCTCCTGGGTTCAAGCAATTCTCCTGCCTCAGCCTCCCGAGTAGCTGGGACTACAGGCATGCACCACCATGTCCAGCTAATTTTTATATTTTTAGTAGAGACGGGGTTTCACCATGTTGACCAGGATGGTCTCGATCTCTTGACCTCGTGATCCACCCACCTCAGCCTCCCAAAGTGCTGGGATTATAAGCATGAGCCACCGTGCCCGGCCAGAAGAAGAAGTTTTTAAAGATATAGAATAATAGCTGAGGGATGAGTTTAAAAAATCGAGGCCTAACAACAGGTTATTCATTTTTCATTATAGAAAATAATTTGAGGCTGGGCGTGGTGGCTCACACCTGTAATCCCAGCACTTTGGGAGACTGAGGTGGGCAGATTACAAGGTCAAGAGATCGAGACCATCCTGGCCATGGTGAAACCCTGTCTCTACTACAAAAATTAGCCAGGTGTGGTGGCATGCGCCTGTGATCCCAGCTACTCGGGAGGCTGAGGTTGAAGAATCGTTTGAACCTGGGACACAAAGGTTGCAGTGAGTTGAGATTGCGCCACTGCACTCCAGCCTGACTACAGAGCAAGACTCCATCTCAAAAAAAAAAAAAAAAGAAAAAGAAAAGAAAAGAATTTGAAAACTTTTAAAAGAAAAAAACTACCCCCCTCAAGATGGTATCTTGCTCTGTTGCCCAGGCTGCAGTGCTATGGCCTGATCTCAACTAACTGCAACCTCTGCCTCCCGGGTTTCAGCAATTCTGTTGCCTCAGCCTCCTGCAGAGCAGCTGGGATTACATGCCTGGTTTTTTTGTTTGTTTGTTTTTGTATTTTTGGTAGAGACAAGCTTTCACCATATTGGCCAGGCTGGTCTGGAGCTCCTGACGTTGTGATCCACCTGCCTCAGCCTCCCAAACTGCTGGGATTACAGGCGTGAGCCACCACACCCAGCCTAAAAGAAAAAAAAAAAAAAAAAACTTTAGAAATAGCTGGGCACAGTGGCTCACGCCTGTAATCCGAGCACTTTTGGAGGCTGAGGCAAGCAGATCACAAGGTCAGGAAATTGAGACCATCCTGGCTAACATGATGAAACCCCATCTCTACTAAAATACAAAAATTAGCTGGGTGTGGTGTTGCGTGCCTTTAGTTCCAGCTACTTGGGAGGCTGAGGCAGGGTTCAATCACTTGAACCTGGGAGGTGGAGGTTGAACTGAGCCAAGATCTTGCCACTGCGACAACCTGGTGACAGAGCAGGACACAGTCTGGAAATTAAAAAAAGAAAAAACTTCATAGAAATTAAATTTAACAGAGTTTATTTGAGCATAGAACAATTTGAAAATTGGGCAGCCCATGAATTCAGAGCAGACTCAGAGAGACTCCAGCATAGCCACATGATGAAGACAGATTTGACAGTGAAAGCAAAGGTACACACAGAAAATGAAAATGAGGTACAGAAACAGCCCGATAGACTACAGCCTTGAATCTGTCTTATTTGAATGTGGTTTGAACAGTTCATGTGATTTTATTAACACAGTGGTTTGTACAATAATAAGTTACAGTCTATTTATAGATAGGGTAAGGTTTCAGTTTACTATGTACAAAAAAAAAACAACTATTGACCAAAATTGAACAGAAAAGGGGACAGCTTTAGGCTATAATTAATTTAACAATTTCTTTTTTTTGGTCATCTCAATTTTTAAAGATAGACCAAAACTTTATACATTAATATTACACTGTCACCATAAAAAAAGTGCTTATGTAGTCTCAAATCCCACTGTAAAACAGCAGAACTATGGATTTTGTAGAGTGGAAACAAAGACTTCTGTTTATAATTTTTTTTTGTTGTTAATCAATGAGAGCTTGTTATGTTGCTCAGGTTGGCCTTGAACTCATAGCCTCGCCTCCTCAAGCGCCAGGACAACTGGCCGGAGCCACCGCGGCCCCCTATAATTTTTTTTAAAGGGTTACAGTAGAGGAGACCTCCTTGTGTTCAAATCTTCTTTTCTCTTTTCAAAAAGAAAGAAAGAGGCCGGGGGCGGTGGCTCACGCCTATAATCCCAGCACTTTGGGAGGCTGAGGCGGGTGGATCAAGAGATCGAGACCATCCTGGTCAACATGGTGAAACCCCATCTCTACTAAAGATACAAAAAATTAGCTGGGCATGGTGGCGCGTGCCTGTAATCCCAGCTACTCAGGAGACTGAGGCAGGAGAATTGCTTGAACCAGCTTGGGTAACAAGAGCGAAACTCCGTCTCCAAAAAAAAAGAGAAAGAAAGAAAAAGAAAAGAAGGAAGGAAGGAAGGATGGAAGAAAGAGATAAACTAGTTTGCTTTAGGATCTATCTATTTTCTTAAAAATTTAGTTTGATTATGTCACATTTAGCATGGGTGACTTCATTTTAGTTTTGTTTATTCTGTTTGGGCCTCGTGCACAATATCAGTCCAGAATGATGGCCTCCAATTTTGTCTTAAAAACTCTCAAATTTGGTTAGGCTCTCAAATAGGTCATAGTGTGACCAAAACTCAGGGTCTTAGTACATCTCCCAGTTTCCAAAGTTTTCAGTTTTTGTTCTTATCAGATAATTCATAGGTTATGTAGAGTAGCTTGCACAGCCTACATATATATATATACTTTTTTATTTTTGAGATTGAGTTTTGCTTTTGTTGCCTACGCTGGAGGCTGAAGTGCAGTGATGCAATCTTGGCTCACTGCAACCTCTGCCTCCCAGGTTCAAGCGATTCATCTGTCTCAGTTTTTTGAGTGTCTGAGATTACAGGTGCGTGCCACCCTACCTGGCTAATTTTTTGTATTTTTAGTAGAAACAGGGTTTCACTATGTTGGTCAGGCTGGTCTTGAACTCCTGATCTCAGGCGATCTGCCCGCCTCAGCCTCCTCAAATGCTGGGATTACAGGCATGAGCCAAGGTGCTCAAAATGTTTTTTTTCAAAGCTCTTTAAAAAAATAACGGAGTCGGGCATGGTGGCATGTGCCTGTAGTCCCAGCTACTCGGGAGGCTGAGGTGGGAAGATCGCTCCTGAATCCAGGAGTTCTGGGCTGTAGTGCGCTATGCCGATCGGGTGTCTGCACTAAGTTCGGCATCAATATGGTGACCTCCTGGGAGCAGGGGACCACCAGGTTGCCCAAGGAGGAGTGAACCGGCCCAGGTCGGAAATGGAGCAGGTCACAACTCCCATGCTGATCAGTAGTGGGATCGTGCCTGTGAATAGTCACTGGACTCCAGCCTGGGCAACATAGCAAGATCCTGTCTCTTAAAAAATTAATAATAATAATAATAATAATAATAACAATAATAGAAACGTGTCAAAGGAATGAATTCTAACATTGTTGTTACCTGCTTTCTCGAGTGCACAGGAGTGCAGTCACCACTCAAGAAAACAGATAACAACAATATTAGTCGTTACTCAAAAACAAAAAAGTTTTCTCGTGCGAAAAGTTGAATGTTGTATCAGTAGCTAAAAGGCTATTAGAAAATACGTTTTGCTCATGGAACATTTCTGAAAAAGTCTCCAATAATAAAGATACTTATTTCACTAGACAAGTTATAAAACTGTTCAATACAGTATTACAGATACGGTCATTTTTGTTGTTGTTGTTGTTGAGATGGAGTTTCACTCTGTCACCCAGGCTGGAGTATAGTGGTACAATCTCAACTCAGCACAACCCCACTTCCCGGGTTCAAGCCACTCTCCTGTCTCAGCCTCCCAAGTAGCCAAGATTACAGGCACCTGCCACCACACCCAACTAATTTTTGTATTTTTAGTAGAGACGAGGTGTCACCATGTTGGCCTTGAACTCCTGACCTCAGGTTATCCACCTGCCTTGGCCTCCCAAAGGATTACAGGAGTGAGCCATCATACCTAGCCCAGATACAGTAGTATTAAGCAAAGCTAACTAAATTGACTGGATTTCTTTTGTAACTGAGATTGATAACAATCAGATTCACTGAGAGTAAAAAGAAAAATTGTTGACTATTACATTGTTACAATCAAGTCATTGGATGGCTTTTGCACCTGATGATGGAACCTCATGTATCTTCTACTACTAAAGTCTAATGTGATTATGTGCAGCCAAGCTTCAGCGCATTATAGCAAAGCATATTTTTACCAGGTATAAAGAATATATATATATATATACTTGGAGATGGAGTTTCGCTCTTGTTACCCAGGCTGGAGTGCAATGGCACGATCTCGGCTCACCGCAACCTCCGCCTTCTGGGTTCAAGCAATTCTCCTGCCTCAGCATCCTGAGTAGCTGGGATTACAGGCGTGCGCCACATGCCCAGCTAATTTTTGTATTTTTAGTAGAGACGGGGTTTCATATTGTTGACCAGGATGGTCTCCATCTCTTGACCTCGTGATCCACCCGCCTCACCCTCCCAAAGTGCTGGGATTATAGGCGTGAGCCACCGCGCCTGGCCTAAGAATATATATATATTTTTAAGATGGGGTTTCACCATGTTGATCAGGCTGGTCTTGAACTCCCGACCTCAGGTGATCCACCCGCCTTGGCCTCCAAAGTGCTTGGATTACAGGCATGAGCCACCATGCCTGGCCAGGTAAAGAATATTTTTAATGGTCTACTGACTGAGGACAGTAAAACCCTCTATAATCTATAATCCAGAGATTGAGGTGGCTTGCCATCTACACCGCAGTAAGATTTCAGGACCTTGAACCTTGGGTTGATAATCTCACCACTCAGAAGGGCCCCTTCAAACATTTGCAATTGTATACCCATTGCAGATCTTAAGGTGAAGCTAATCAGTAAAGTTTCTTCGCATAAGCAGATAGCAACATTGATATAGTTTGTTTTTGTTTTGTTTTATTTTGTTTTTTTGAGACAGAGTCTTGCTCTGTAACCCGGACTGAAGTGCAGTGACATGGTCATAGCTCACTGCAACCTCCTCCTCCCAGGTTCAAGGGATTCTTCTGCCTCATCCTGCTGAGTAGCTGGGACTACAGGTGCACGTCACCACACCCAGGTAATATTTGTGTGTGTATATATATATATTTTGAGATGGAGTTTTGCTCGTTACCCAGGCTGAAGTGCAATGGCATGATCTCGGCTCACCACAACCTCCACCTCCTGGGTTCGAGTGATTCTCCTGCCAATATTTGTATTATTAACAGAGACAGGGTTTAACCATATTGGCCAGGCCAATCTCAAACTCCTCACGTCATGATTTGCCCACGTTGGTCTACCAAAGTTCTGGGATTACAGGCATGAGCCACTGCACCTGTCTCGGTTACAATTCCATATACAGACGATTTTGGCCAGGCGCAGTGGCTCACAACTGTAATCCTAGCACTTTGAGAGGCCAAGGCAGGCATGTACCTGAGGTCCTGTGCAGTCACCACAGGAGTGCAGGAGCACAGTCACCACTCAAGAAAACAGATAACCACAGCCAGAAAAAAATAGCAAAATAAGTTTGCTTTTTTTTTTTTTTTTTTTTAAGACAGGGTTTAACCATGTTGGCCAGGCTGATCTTGAACTCCTGACCTCAGGTGATCCACCCATCTTGGCCTCCCAAAGTGCTGAGATTACAGGCATGAGACACCACGCCGGGCCGGCAAAATAAATTTGCCTTTAATCTATTTTCTCCATATCTAAATATAAGAGTTTAAGAGTGTGGGCAGAACTGAAGACACGGAGTTTTTTTTTTTTACTCCTGTGATGCCATCATCCTTTGTTCACTGCCTGATCTCTGAAAGAAAGGTGCCCAACAGGCGGTAAGCAGTGGTTTACCTGTGGTATTTTATTCCTGCTGCCCTCAGCTCTTTCTATGGCCACTATCTGTTCCACCCTCGGAACTGAAGAGAGTTATTGGTAGGGCGAGGTTCTTCCTTCACCTCTGGCCCTTCCACACATCAGAGCTGCCACGTGTGGATTCTGGGTGCCAGGAATGAGCCTGGTCTGAACTGCAATGTTCTAAAAAGGTAAAATATAGAGTTAGTTTCAAAATTTAATTGCAAATATTTATATACTTCATTAATAATTACATATTCCTCATACATTGAAATGACATTTTGGACATACTGGGTTAATTACATTGTTACAAGCAACTGAACCTGTTCCTTGTTTCTTTCTCAAGTTTGGCTACTAGAAAATTCAAATTTCACTTGTGGCTCACATTTTATTTCAGAAAATTCCCTCCTTTTTAAAATCCCAGGCTTCCTGCTTAAAGGACCATAAGCCAGGAAGGTAAAAAAGCTAAACCTTTGTTTTCTTTTAGACACAGTATTGCTGTCGCCCAGCTGAAGTGCAGTGGTGTGATCTTAGCTCACTGCAACCTCCACCTCCAGGGTTCAAGCGATTCTCCTGCCTTAGCCTCCTCCTGAGTGGAGGCAAACACCGCTCCGCCCAGCTAATTCCATCTTGACCAGGCTGGTCTTTAACTCCTGACGTCATTATCCACCCACCTCGGCCTTTCAGAGTACTGGGATTACAGTAGTGAGCCGCCACGCCCGGCCACAATATAATGTTATTTACAAATGCATATGACCTTATACACAAGGTTGAATGCAAGTATTCTCTAGGGTGGGCCCGGCTCAGCTCAGGAAATACGCCTTGCTGAGAAGGCTGCAGCCTAGGCTGGCACTCTTTCTGTATTCAGCCCATCATCTAATCACAGATTCAGCCCATCTAATCTCACAGCCTGAGAGGGTGGAATTTAAACGTTATTCAGGCCAGGTGCAGTGTAATCCCAGGACTTTGGGAGGCTGAGGCAGGCGGATCACCTGAGGTCGAAAGATTGACACCAGCCTGACCAACATGGAGAAATCCCATCTCTACTAAAAATACAAAAATTAGCCCAGCGTGGTTGTGCATGCCTGTAGTCCCAACTGCCTGGCAGGCTGAGTCAGAAAAATCGCTGGAACTTGGGCGGTGGAGATTGCAGTGAGCCGAAATCGCAACACTGCACTGCAGCCTGGAGGACAGAGGGAGAGTCAATCTCAAAAAAAAAAAAAAAAAAAAAAAAAAAAAAAAAAAAGTTATCTGATGAGCGACGCTGGGCTGGGAACTGTTTGATCAGGCACACAGCTGGAGGTAACAGCGCGAATTTTGCGAATTTTGCGTTCGGCAGGGCAGCTAGAGTTCCAGGTCTACTATTCATTGTTCTGTGTCTTCTGCTCCAAGAGACCCAGCCTCTGTGCCCCCGTGACCTGCAGGTAATAAGAGATCCACAGCTAAGATGCCAGGACCCCCTGGAAGCCTAGAAATGTTGAGAGTGTCAGTTCTGACATCCCGAGAGAGGAGAAGGGGGTGATTGCGACCGGTGGGAAGCGGCTGTGGCGGGACTCAGGCCTCCCCTCAGTTAGCTCCACAATCTGCTCCCCAAGTTCTTGCCCAGCTTAGCCTTGATTTCCTTCAGCCACAAGATGGTGGCTTTGCTGACAGCCGGAACCTGGGCGTTCTGTCTCTTTCCTACACGGTGACTGTGCCCTAGCCTGGAGCCCTCCCTGAGCAGCTTTGCACCCACAGCACCGTGTCTCTCCTAGATTGTGCAGGTACCTGGAAGGGTCATTGGGGAGAATCCTGACTCGGGCTGTGGGTTCATGAATGGGAATGTTGCAGAATTTTAGAGACTGAAAAGACTGCTGAGGTTGCAGAAGGAGTTTATTTTAGGTGCACACTGGCCCAGGTTTACTTGGATTTAAAATGGCTGAGCCCTTAACAAAGTCAGGGCTTGGCCTTTTCTTCATGAAGTACACAGTGGCGCTGAAACAAGTTTGCAAGTACAGAACAAAGCAGTTCATTAAGCAATGACGGGCACCTAACTTAGGCTTGCACATGACTCTCAGGTGTTTGCTATTTGTAGCGCTCAAGGATTCTAATACAGCACCCAGAAGGCCGGAGTTCTGCCTGATTGGGCATTTTTTATGATGTTTGCCAGGTTACAGAAACTTACAGTTATTAGCTATAGAGAACAAAAATATAAGAATTTATAAACTTATAAAACTTGCAAAGCAGGATACAATTCCACAAGAGGGGGAATAACTCAAAGTTTGCTTATGAAAGAAAAATTTAATTTCTGCTTTTCTTTCCTGCATTAATTTAATTTTTCTCTTCAGTATTCTGAAACATTAATTTTATTTTATTTTTTATTTTTTTTGAGACGGAGTCTCGCTGTGTAGCCCAGGCTGGAGTGCAATGGCATTCTCTCAGCTCACTGCAACCTCCCCCTCCCAGGTTCAAGCCATTCTCCTGCCTCAGCCTCCCAAGTAGCTGGGATTACAGGTGCACGCCACCACGCCCAGCTAAATTTTATTTTTATATTATGTTGTTTTTATCAGTTCTTTTCTCCTCTTCATCCCTCCCTTTAGTGCACTTTTATATAAGTAATACTTTTAATAGAACACACCACTGTAATAGTCTTTTTGAAGATAGTACTAAATTATATGTAGGAGAGAGTACCTGGATAAAACAGATTTTTTAATTGCCTTTTATGTAAGTTGCACTTGGTGGTTTTAGGCTAAAGTCGTTTTACTTTCTTTTAGTTTGGGATGACTAATAGAGGGTGGGCATGCTTCGTGGCTGCTCTGCTTTGTACCCCAGTGAGGCGTAGTGCCAGGGCCTTTTTTTGTTTGCCTTGGCCTCTATGCCCCTGTGTGACTGTGCCTGTTTTAGGTTGTGCCTCCCTTGAGGAATCTTGCCTGTCATTGGCTAGCCAGCCATCTTCTAGGGCTAGATACGATGCCATGGTTGTTCTAATGAGGTTTAGATAGAATTTTTTGAACCTGGCCAGGCGCGGCGGCTCACACCTGTAATCCCAGCGCTTTGGGAGGCCGAGGGAGGCAGATCACAAGGTCAGGAGTTCAAGACCAGCCTGACTAACATGGTGAAACCCCATCTCTACTAAAAATACAAAAATGAGCCATGCATGGTGGCGCGTGCCTGTAATCCCAGCTACTCAGGAGGCTGAGGCAGGAGAATTGCCTGAACCTGGGAGGCGGAGGTTGCAGTGAGCTGAGATTGTGCCATTGCACTCCAGCCTGGGTGACAGAGTGAGACTTCATCTAAAAAAAAAACCACTTTTGAAACTGATTGCAGGCCTTTGAGAGCTCTGCTTTGATGCACCTTCACATTACCTTGATAGAGAATTTCGCCTTTTGTCTTTATTGAGGTGCTGCTGAGTTAATTTGCTTTACCCAGTTATTCTGGTCCCTGTGTTGGTTTACTTAAAGCAAAATTTGCATAAGTTTGATGAGCGCATTTCCTCCAGACAGCTCATGTTTGGGTGGGGGCTGGCAGGGAGTTGATAGGCTTTTTTTTTTTCTGAGGGACAGGTTGATACTTAAATAAGCCCTTATTTGGGTGGTGGTATGCATAGCTACTACTGCTTCTACGGTTAACTGCTGCTTTGAAACGAGAGGCAAGAGACATGGGAGGATTAAGCAACTGCGTAGAAAAAGCATAAACCCTCCTATTAGTGTGTTACAGTCTTTAAAAGATGAGAACCATTCAGGTCTCCAAGTTTGAACTGGGATATGGGCCAACTTTTGCATTTTGCAGTTATTTTCATAACAGCACTTTTACTATTATTAATTTATAAGCAACAGGTTAACTTTCCACATGGGCCAGGTGCTGTGGCTCAGGCCTGTAAATGCAGCACTTTGGGAGGCCGAGGCGGGTGGATTACCTGAGGTCGGGAGTTTGACACCAGTTTGACCAACATGGTGAAACCCCGCCTCTACTAAAAATACAAAATTAGCTGGGTGTGGTGGTACATGCCTGTAGTCCCAACTACTTGGGAGACTGAGGCAGGAGAATTGCTTGAACCCAGGAGGTGGAGATTGTGTTGAGCCTAGAGGGCACCGTTGCACTCCAGCCTGGGCAACAAGAGCAAAACTCCATCTCAAAATAAAAGTAAAAATAAAAATAACTTTTCTTTTCTTTTTTTTTTTGAGATGGAGTTTCATTCTTGTTACCCAGGCTGGAGTGCAATGGCGCGATCTTGGCTCACTGCAACCTCCGCCTCCTGGGTTCAGGCAATTCTCCTGCCTCAGCCTCCTGAGTAGCTGGGATTACAGGCACGCGCCACCATGCCCAGCTAATTTTTTGTATTTTTAGTAGAGACGGGGTTTCACCATGTTGACCAGGATGGTCTCGATCTCGGCCTCCCAAAATGCTGGGATTATAGGCGTGAGCCACCGCGCCCGGCCAAAAATAACTTTTTTTTACATATGCCTCCTTCCTTGACCAGGAGGTAATTTAAAACTAGTTTGTTTTGGTAAATAGCATTTTTAAAATTTCTGTGGATTATACAGTCAACAGATAATAAAGCTTGTGCAGTTTTACTGGTAATGGTTTTGAACACTGCTTGTAATCTTATAGTGCAATTAAGCATACAAATAGGAGTATGGTTCCCTCACAACCTGTCTTGTGCCCAAGTAGCTGGCCTGTAATATTGAATAATTCTTTTAGGTGGCCAATTAGCGTTCTTCCAGTTTTCTATTTTTATACCTTCTCTGATATTTACACTTCTTTTACTTCTGTTTTTTACTTTATTATGAACAGGGCATCCTAGAGTTTCTCATAGCTGTAAAGGAGCTAAGAAGAAGGATGGTCTGATTTTTCCAGTATGCGGACCTCCTGTTCAATTAGCTGGTAATTGTCAATATGCTCACTGCGGGCAAATTGAATAAAGGCCTGGGGGTGCCTGCCAGCTATTGGGCGCTTCAAATTGATACCAGGAGTGACTTAAACCTGGGAAGTGAGAAACAGGGTTTCAGCATGGCAACCTGGAGGTACTTTTACCTTGTTTCTTTTGCCCTGCCACCAAGTTTTTCCCACCGTTGGCTGTAATATTGCTGCCCTAAACAAGTTATTTTTCCTAGTGGGTTAACAAAAGTGTGCCCCCTGTGGGCAATACAGTACCTCCGGACTATGGAAGTTTTTTGGAGTTAAATACTTGAGTGCTTGAGTGT